ATGCATACACGTCCCTTTTGGGGGGGGGTTTCCAGCACAAGGTCCACTTTAAGCCTTGTCAGTTTAAACGCCCATCTCAATTCATCCATCATCACCACCCCTATCGAGTTGTGTAGGAGCTGGGACAGCTGAGCGCTTACCTCCATGAAAAGTGGGCTATGCGAGGTAAAACATAGCTGGGCACTTCTCCACGTCGTCTCTGCTCACTTCCGCTCCCCTTCCTCCTCCGACATCGTCTTCGGCAAGGCAACGTCCATAGAGCTAGTAGCGGTAGGTGAAGATGGGGTTCTACAATCAATATGCGAACAGCCCGTGTTTGGTACCATTAAGGATCTTGCTGCTGTACCATGGAGTAGCCAATTCCAAATCCCAGCGTGGCTATGAGAGGAATTCCGTGAGAAATACCAATAGAGATGGAGCAGGGGGTGGATACTAGCTTAGGTTTAGGTTTAGGTTGATTGTGGGGAAATTGTTCCTGGGGGAGGAGAGGGATCGTGGGGAATTTTGGGTTAATCAGGGCTCGTCCCCCTTTTTTTTATATAATAGTAATAATCATAATAGTAATAATAGTTATTATTATTATTATTATTATACTATTATTCCTAATCCCCGGTTGCAACTCTTCGTACATACTCGTTAAACCAACCATTCACGTATTATGGTCGAACCTGAACCCAAAGGTCGGGGTGTTACACCAGCTCCCAAGTTCCATTCTCTTCCAACTCGTCCACTTCAAATTTCATCGAAGCATTCCATCGGGGTCTTATGCAACCTCAAAGTAGCGAGTGGGAATGATGACAGGATCAACCGAAAACCCCACAAAATCCTGCATGCGAGCTGGCGGTTTCCCTAATATCGCCCGATTGGATCGATGCAAAGGGACAAGAGTTTGAATAGGAGAATTCTCATTACCTGCCACAAACGATCCCATTGAATCACCCCCTGGAGACGAGCTAGACGCAGAAGGCAAACGGGAGGCAGAAGACGAGTTGGAGCTGAGGAAGAGCTACCTGGTGATGTGAAGTCGCTGGAAGAGCTACCACTCAACGAACTAGTGGCCTAAGAACCCTCTGGTGAGGATGGACCACTGTCCGAATCGAACCCAGTAGGAGCAGTCCCGTCGTTCGACAAAGTGGAGGGCCGCACCAGCTCAAAAATGGGCAGAGAGGTCAGAAATACAAGTGAAGCAACGGTGCTAGCATTTGCATGAGTAACCCGATAGTACATTTATTTCTCTAGAAACTTGACATGATGAGCAATACGCATACGACGACCAACGAGATCATAGCACATATACCCTTGTGCTTGTCGTTGTAGCTGAGAAACACACTGTGTACTACCTTAGGAGCTAGTTTGTGACATTCTTTCCGCTGGAGCTAAACAAAGCAAGTACACCCAAAGACCATAGAAATGAATAATCTGGAGACTTCAAGTACAATAGCTTATATGGAGACTGTTGGCCCAGAATTAATGTGATTTGACGATTAATCAGATACATGATTGTGTGAACAGCCTCGACCCATCAGCTGATATGAACGCGAGAGTGAAATAGAATGGCACGTGTGAGCTCTAACACGTGCCGATTCTTACTTCCACCATGACGTTTTGCTGGGACACACCAGGACAGGACTGTTGCGGCAAAAAACCCTCTGTCTTGAAGATCTTAAAGAGTTCATTCAAAGAAAAATCCCCTCAGAATCAGACCTGAGCACCTTGATCGTCTTACGAAACTGTGTCTTAATCATGGCGATGAACTCACGAGCTAGAGAAGTCAACTCAGAATTTTGCTTCAAAAAGTATACCCATGTAAACTGAGTAGTGTGATCAATAAACAAAGCAAAATATATGTACCCAAGTCGAGAGAGTACAGGAGACGACCCCCAGAGATCTGTATGAATCAAATCAAATGGTTATGCATATTCTGTATCATTGGAAGAGAAAGACGCATGTGAGGCTTTGGCCTCGATACAACTCACATAATCGAAAACTCCATCAAACTTCAACAGGTTCAACTTATCTAGTAACAAATTCTGTTTAAACATAACCTCAACCTCTCATAATGAGGATGACCAAGCCTAATGTGCTACAAATCCCATAATGAATTGCCAACAGAAATATCCAAACTAAAAACCAAAAAATCACTACCCAAAGTCTTAGACATAAATCTCCCTCCTCTATGCGTGCAAGAGAACCCGGCAAGGCGATACCCTCACTACTGGTCGACGTGGTAGTCACTCAGGCTCCTTTCACATCCCGCCCAGACAAAGCATCCAACACAAATGTTCGTCCATGCTTACTGCTTCTCCTGATCACCCTCCCCGACTTCTGCTCCTACACAACACAACTAGTAGAGTCAAACTTAACACTACATCCTTCATTAGCCAATTGGCCCACCAAGGTCAGATTAGATGCAACTTAGGAACATATAAAGTTTCGGGAAGATTGATCAAGGCCATATGAGCGATTCCCAACCCACAAACCAGAATCTCCGCACCATTCGCCACTTGCAGACTCATTGGCGAAACAGGACGTAAAAAAGTGAATTCTGTACGATTTGGAGTCATATGGTTAAACACTGTGGAGTCTAAAAGCAAATGCAAAGACTTACCAGACGAAGTACTCGTAGCAAATGCAAAAGAAAGTGCAGCATGTAATGCCTCATGAACCATGCGCTGGATCTGCTCTGCCGACAGGGGAGCTGTAGTGCCTGAACCAGCAGGGGCAGCAGCCGAAGTCGAGCCAAGTGTGACCGGAGAAGCAATGTCGCGAGGTGAGGATGCTCCCTGGAGCTGGACGCAGACGTCCCTTCATGCTCAACGTCGGGCAGGCTAACACAATGTGACCTGTCCGCTTACAGTAATTACAATAGTTCCGCTTCTTGTAGTGAATTTGGATGTGGCCAGACTCCCTACAAAAGTGACAAATGACATCTCCTGAGCTGGGAGGGACAAACTGCGGTTGAGATGTCGCGGCGGGGCGGCCAACAACAAAGACCGAACGGTGAAGGTAGCATAATTATCTAGCTGGGACTGACCCTTAAGGCGCATCTCCTCCCTCATAAGCTCAGCCACGACATCATCAGTACTTGTGACACCCCGATGGATCAATGAGGCCCGAATGGGCTCATATTCAGTACAGAGTTTAGCCAAAAATTGAAGAACACGTGTACGAGCACGCTCCACAATCATCGCCCCGTATGCTGCATCGGGAACCAAAGATGTAGTCAAGAGATCATACTCAGTCCAGAGATGGAGACATGCCTAATAATAACCGCAAATATCCTTATCTCCCTGTGCCAGACGAGTAATCGCAGTCTCCAACTCGAACTCCCGAGACGTATTATTCTGAGCATATGTACGACATATGTGTGTCCACATATCATGCGCCTTGGTGAATCAACGTAAGCTGAGTGCGGTGGGGATATCAACACAACCATCCAGCCATGTGATAAGCTGGGCATTAGCTGCTCTCCAATCTTCCACATCCTTTGCCGCAGGAGCTGGCTCCTTGAGCTCACTAGTCAACACGCGAAGAAGACGCTTCCGGGCTACAAAATTCCAGAATTGGAATTCCCATATGGCAAAGTTAGTGCCATCAAACCTGATCACCGAATCCATGCGAGAAGTATCCATGGAGTCAATCAGCCAAACACCCCAAAATTACACCAGAGACAAGCGGTAGGCAAACCCACTAGCTACGGCGGACGCCCAGCTAGCAACAAACCAAGAAAAAGAGGACAACAAATCCCAAACACAATCCACGTTGCAAGAAGACCAAACCGAGAATGCCAAACCCACACTGCCACGGAGGAAGCCGAACGCAGCCAACAGCCAAACACAATCTCAAGCTGCAAGAAGACCAAACCAAGACTGCCAAACCCACGTTGCCACAGAGAAATCCGAACACAACCAACATCCAAAAACAATGCAACAAAAAACAAAACCCTACGCAGCCAAATCACCAATCCGCCGAACGGAAACAAATGAAGAGAAGAACCAACATGTTATTGCATAGGCTCTGATACCATGTCAAATAGTACGAATGTATAAGAGACAACACCGAATTTAACGTGGTATCCCTAAATCTCTGGACTAATCCACGGGAGAGAATGTGCTCTCCAAGAGTTTCACTATAACCACTATGACTTAGTTATAGGAGTACAGCCGAGTTCGGCTTAATATAGGGTTAAACACTAACATAGACAATTAAGTGACTAATTACATAATGGTACCTCAACAATAAAAATCAACATGGAGACCTTGGTGGTCATAGTAGAGAGGCCGAGAGAGAAGGGTTCTAATTGGACTTGGTAGGGGGTGATGAATATTTTTTAATTATCCAGTAACCTCAGCTTCACGTGCCACCTTGTGACAGCGGGGACTAATAAATCTGAGAGCCACCTGCAATCATATTCGATGCCAATGGGGCTTCTCCCCTAGCAGCCTTGTAAATCCGGGAACACCAACGGGTCTCGCTTGGTTTCAAACCTATGATATGCAACTCCCAAATCTTCAATGTTGCGACAGATTTACCGTTAGCCTTTCTTCAATGTTGCGACAGATTTGGTAGGAGTGATGATAGTGTGGCTGATCATTAATTTTTCAAAATGATAAGGGCTCCCTCCTTTTGTAAAATCTGTAATAAATGTGGTCAACTTCAAAAATAAAAAATAATAATAACATAATATTTGTATTGGCTGAGAAACGAGTTCGAGATGTAATTGTATCAATTAAGACAGCAAAACAAATGAAAAGGAAAAGTATATTATACAGTCGTACACGGTGCCCAATAAATCCCATGCAATAATGAACCAAATACTGTACAACAAAATGATAGATAAAAAAAAAAAAAAAAAAGACGACAGCGACACATGCAGATTTATCCTCCATCCATCCACCCACCCATCCATCCATCAATGTGATGGAGATGGAAAAAAGAAAAGCTTACGAATTCAGGAAGGTGATTGAGAATTGAAACAACAACGAACATCATCCTCATCATCAAGCTTTGCCTTCGGCTCTGGCATAAGTAAAACCCGCGCAAGCATCCACAAAATCCTCGTCGATGAAATCCGTGGACAAAATCTGCAGCCGATCCCCCCACCCCTTCGCCACCGCCTGGTTGATAAACAGCCTTGCGTAGGAGTGGATCCGGCTCGTCACGGGCTTCACGCACACGATCGGGTTGTCGGGCTGCGGCGTCACCGTGTTCTCCACCCGGTAGAAAAACCTCCTCCCCGCCGCCGCCCCCTGCTGGCTCAGAAACTTGAGATTGCTCTCGAATTTCGTCGACGGCAGGTCCGTGTCGATCCAATTGTCCTTCAAATACCCGGCCCCCCACAAAGCCCCGCCGGGCTTCGGCGCCTCCGACTTCCTCGGCTTCCACACGCAGATCACCCGCCTCGGGAGCAGCTCCGCCACCGTCTTGCCGAAAACGGCGTCGTCCTGGTGGATCAGGTGCTCCCCGAGCTGCTCCTCCAGGTACCTGTCGAACTCGGGCGGGTCGTCGTGCCCGAACTCGGTCCGGACCTCGAGGAGGATGACCTCGGACTGTGTCTCGGAGAGGAATTTCTTGACGTCAGCGATGACGACGTCGACGGAGTAGGTTTTCAAGATGCCGTGGCAGATGAGGCGGTCCTGGTTGACGCGGATGTCGAGGACGCGGGCGCCGCGGCAGAGCTGGCGGTAGATGGAGAGGGACTGGCACTGGGCGAAAGGGCGGGTGACGAAAGGGATGCCGATCTTGTTTGTGGCGGAGTCGTGGGTTCCGGGCCACACGATCTGGTTGATCCGGATCTTGTCGGGTCCGATTCCAGACATCCAGTTCTGGCGGTCGGCGGGGCGGTAGTCGGAGCCGGGGAAGTCGGTGCCGCAGCTGCCCTTGAGGTCGCAGAGGGTTTGTTTCTCGGTGGAGATGGCCTTCCGACGGGCGATCTGCTTGGATGCCTGCGCTCCCATTGTAAGGTACGGTGTGGACTCTTCTGGGTAGCGCAGAAATGGGATGGATGTTGTTTGGGGATGGGAAATATAGACAGACAGAGGGGTGTGTGTTTTGGGTATTATTGGGGCGTAGGTGGCATGGAGTAGTGGATGATTATTGCTAAGAAAGGAGAGCTGTTTTTTGGCTGTGCTTCTGAGACAGACAATGGAATGGATGAATCGATGATTGTGATGAGGGTCTGTTTGGTTGGTGGGTGTGGTTTGTGGTGTGAATTCATCATGATTTGTGATTTTTATTTGGGATAGGTTGGTGGGGTGTTTGATATCGATTGGATAATAATAATAATAATATTGAGTTGTTGTTGTGTATGGTGGGTGGGGTTTGTTTGTTTACATTGGTGTGGTGGCTGAGTGGAATGAGAGGATGTCCAAAAATCTTGGTTGAAGCTTTTGGTTTGTTTCCAGGATGTAAAATTGTGGTGGTGGGGTGTTTGATGAACTGATGATATTAGAGGAGATGTCTGTTTGTGTTGATGTATGATTATTAGTTTCGTGTGGAGGAAATAGGGTTGCGGAAATTTTTAGTGTTGTTGGTAAGAAGACTGGTGATTAAGATCTCGATCCAGTTTAAAGTTTGTTTGGTTATTTATTTTTGGATTATGAAGGGCAAGCTATTACACAAATGTCTCAAATCTTCTTATTTGATTAGGATCGTCAGCTAGATTATTGGTAAAATTGGTGCATTTTATGTGTACACGAGCCACCACATGAGAAGAAACAGGTGGTTGTCTTAAACGCCATCCTCCATTTTAATGTGAACTCGATGTTCCCACTTCCAAATAATATGAAAAAAAGAAGACAATTGTACTCATGTACAGATTACAGCTTTGGATTTGCTCCAACCGGGAAGGATGAGACAGCACTAGGCCACTCGGCATCTCATGATTGGTGCAGACAATTGACATCCCATCGATTGATAATTTTGATGTCCTTCTTAGCCGCACAAAAACAGAATCATTTTTCTCAATCGGAGGAAAAAAATATATTCTAAAAGGTTACTTGGCTACACTGAACATTCATTTTAATCTGGTAAGTGGTAACTGATAAACCAAACTCCTGAAGTTTACAGCCAGGTATCTATGAGCAACATAAAACCCATGAGACCGACCTATTGATACAATGGGAATTCTTATGGGAAATCCACTTCTATGGACATTTCAAACTTGATTAAGATGGCTGCTTATCACCTCTCACCTTATCTTAATGAACATATCAGCATGCTGCTCTTCAATTGAAACTCCAAGGGCGTCCTTCATCTAGGTAAGTCCCTTGCTTTACAGAATCTCTGCCTCATAATTTCCTCCAACTTATGGATCACCGAAGAGAACATTCCTGCAAGTTATCAACCCAGAAACAACATCAGCCTCCCAAGTAATGCATATCAAATCTTTTTTTTTCTTCTAATCATGCTGTCATGTTCATGTTCATATTCATATTCAGATTTGTAACAACAATGGAAGTTGGAGACCTGAAAATGGACAATCTTTGTTTTGTAGTGATGCTTTCACCAACAAGGTGCCTGGCTGCTGCTGGAAAATCTGCAAGAGGAACAACTCAAGCCGCTGACTTTTATTGAATAATACACAAGTCATAGTCAGGCACTCAGGCTAAGCAAGGAGGCGAACATACTGAAATTTGAAAACTCATATTGTCTGAAGCCTTCTCCACCGGTTTGCTCTCCATCGGTTTTTCAATGCATTTTGCATCATACTTCATGAGGTCTTCACAGTGAAGCCTTGGTGCAGTGATCTAGTAAATTAGAGTGTACTGCAAGTAAGTCCCCAGAAACATTACAAACACTAAAACAGATTACTACATCGGTTAAACTGAGAGATTCAGTTCTTACATCAACAGTAAATGACGAGGCATTCAATTTACAGGATGCACCGTTGGTCTGAAATAACGGCTCGATTGATTGTAATATATGCATGGCACTGAATTGGCGATCAACCCTCTGGGAGACAGTAGAATCAAACCATAAGTAGGAAACACTCAAAAAGACCACAGGTAGAAAGCAACAGTCATCCAAACCTCAAGCATGAAGCTAATATTGGTTCTTTGGACTGCAGCAGGCGGTAATATCTTCTTAGTTGGTGGCAGAAAAGACCAAGCCAATCCCCATCTACACGTTTGGCCTTGTACAAACTCGGTAGTCTTCACTATGGTCACTCCAACATCCCGCAGCTTTGAAGTTAGGAACTTGAGGTTTATTTTCCTGCCAATCATTGAAGTGTACCACCTAAAAAGGTAAAGCATGAATGAAGCCATTACTTTAACCAGTAAAGTGATAAAGAAAGGTATGTATATTCAAAGAATACTGACCTAAACGATTCCTTCAAGACAACACTATCTTCAATCATACGAGTAATGAAAGCTTGTTCTCCACCAGGGCAGACCATCTCCTCAGGAGTACCTCCGCAAGAAGTTTTTGGATTAAGTCCTGCTTCCTCAGTGCTCTCAAAGAAAGGAGGATTGCACATGCAGAAATCAAACTTCTCACCCTCTCTGACTACCCCAAGAAGTATAGGCGGCCCACAATAACAGCCACCTGCAACCTCACTGCTTTCATGATCTACTGCAAGAGCATCAGACAACTCTTTAGCAGGCAGCTCAACTCCATGGACTGTAACCTTTCTAATCTCAATGAGTTGAGACACGTGTGGATTTTTGTTGACGTTTCTCTCTGCCCACTCTAATGCAACATCAGTAATATCTGCAACCAAGTACAGGGATACAAAAAGGCTGTAAGTTACTAATGATTCACACACAAAACTGAAGCTTGATAAGGATAATACTAGCACTAAGAAGATCAAGTGACCTGAACCGACGAAACTCCATCCCAGAAGGGAGGAGCCAAGCAGTGGGTAAATGCAGTTTGCTCCAGTGCCTATATCAAACCCTCTAACTAAATCTCCAAGAGTCTGATTTTTTGGAATGATCTCAGAAGACAGAAGATCTTCAATCCAATGAATGTAGTTTGATCTGTTGGGCACAGTGGGGCATAGCTGCCCATCAGGGATCCACCTACACATTATTCCCACACCATAAACAAACCTCAACAGAATCAAGTTCAGATTTGAAGTAGCCTTACACATCAACCATAGGAAAAGAAAATAAGCCTAGAGTTTCAGTTTGTCTGAGCTCAAATAAGATTATCAGAAGCCACAAATTTCTGAAAACAAGGATTTAATCAATTGGCAATTCGTTGAATTTTTACTCAAAAGGCTGCCAAACTGCATTATTATGAACTCAAAGGGGATCAAAGTTCAGAACTTGAATTGGCTAAATTCTTCCAATTTCTAAATCTCGGGAAAGGATTTCACCAATTCAGCTGAGCGAACAAGCTAAAGGCAGAATCTTTGAGGTTTAATAACACCTGGTGAATCATCTGCTTACCAATTGAGGCTGTGGTCGTGGAGGAGCAAGACACGGGTAAGCTCCCTAGTGGCGTTGAAGTCGGTCCAGTCGATTCTAGGGTGACCGTCGCGTGAGTAGAAAACGAAAGGCTCGAAAGAAGGGTAGAGAGACGCCAGGAGAGCGAAGTCCGGATGACTGTCGGCGTACTTGTTTTGCGGGTGAATCGTTGGCCGCTCCGGTCTCTTCCGCTTGTTATTCTTGCTCGGCATTTTCCCGAAATTGTCAGGAACCGGCGGTCGATGAAAGTTATATTTTGGAAACCGACAAATGCGACGGCGGCGGGTAGGATATGCTACCGGTAAGGAAGCCGAGAACTTTGTCCCGGTGGGTTTGAAAGTGGACCCAAATAATTGGGCTTGGGCTAATGTTTGTCCTTTAGCGAGAAGCTAGGACGCTAATTCCATAGTCCATAGGGATTTAGCACCGTCCGAATTATAATATTAACAGTTCATTTCAAATTTAAATTTTATGTTTAGGAAAATAATAAGAGTAAATTAAGAAGAGGTTACATTAATTATTAGTTTCTGACTTTTATTTTTGTTGTTTTGTGACAGAAGGCGGATTTGGTGGGATTGGTTTTTTTTTTGGGATTTTAATGGATGTGGTTACAAGTTTTTCTCAACAACGTCTCTCTCTCGCTCTCCCTTCTCTCCATCTCGTCTCTCTGTCTTCGCAGAGTAAAATACTACATTTTTTGGAAAACACTACTAACTTTTTTCTTCAGGTATGTAGTAGTAATTTGGTGTGCAGTATTGATTTTATGATATATTAGTAGTGATTTTGATAATTTTTTAGTAGAATCAATATTACTGTATAGGTTTTTGTCAATAATAATAAATCACTACTAATTCTAGCAAAAATAATAATAAATCACTACTAATACAAAATCAGAAACACTGCTATATCATATCCGTAAATGCGGGATCCATAAATTTACTGTTATGCAATCATTGCCTACTACGATCATATCTATAAAATCACTATAATACTATTACAAAAGCTCTATTACGGAGAATCCTCCACTGTCTACATCTTTCATCAAATGTAATCTCTTCTCTTGCACTCCTTATGATTTCATTAGTCCACAGTTGCAAAAAAAAAAACAAAACTAAAAACAATCACTGCCACTTCCACCTTTTAAAACAATATAAGTGTAAACAAAATTGCTACGACATTAAACGGACAAAGTAAAAAAGGAAGAACACAAAATCCTAATTTATCGCAAAACACTACTAATGTAAACGGCGAAGCAAAAGAAGTCTTTGGGATTGCGGTGGTGATGATTGCGGCAACGACGACAAGGTGGGAGTTGCGGCGATGACTAGAGCATCGATTACTGGGGAATCGAACTGCTTAGAAAGAAGAAGTACAGTGGAGATCGGAGAAGATAAGGGGGAATTGGAGGAGGAATGGGATTAGGAGTGTGGAGGGCAGCGTCGTCAAGGGCAGAGCTAGCGAACCCAGTCTCGACGAATGAAACTAGCGAGGGACGCTTCAACGACAGGAAGGACTATCGGAATCGGCTGTATTTCTACACTCCAATGGAGGGGGGAGAAGAAAAAAAAACTTACGTAAAAGAAGATTGCTTGACTATTGGGATATCCCCAACACAAAAACCGCACACTTTTCACCCGACTGAGATCACAACATTAACATCAAAAAATAAATCCAACTTACTAAAATGCCCCTGAAAATAAAAACCCTCTTAAATTGGCCGAAATTAAAAAGGAAGGCGTTCAGGCTGGTTAGGACGGTGCTAACGGGGTAGATGTTTAGCAACCTATTCGATCTGTTATTCTTTAAGATGTTCCTGGATGACTATTGAGACTCAAACCCATATCTCTGCCAGCTTGATTGCACAGTTTGTATCTCTTCCTTGTTTGTGTGGATTTTTTTGAAAAATACATTTGTTTAAGAAAATCTCAAAATATAATAATTTTATTTACTTTTCCAATCTACACTTGCATTGATCGCTTAGATCAAAAGCAATCTGATTATTGATCGTTGTTAAGGAAACCGGTCCATATATTGATCGCTATTAGGAGAAACGATTTGTATATCTCGTCCTCCACCTTGCGCTTATCCTCCTTCGCCACCAAATCTTACTCATCGTCTTCACCACCCCCATCAATATCCCTTTCATCTTCACCTAACGACTGTTTTTTAGTAACTTGTGTACTTGGGGAAAAATTATGTTTGCAAGACAAAAATCACTGATTTTAAATAAGTTCTACTTTTTGTTTCCATTGACAAATAACTGCGATGTTATCTCTTACAATTATTGATGCTTGAGATGTAACCAAGGTTGTCAATCTGCGGGTTCACCCATTTTGATCCTAATCCGGTGAGAAAAATGAGCGCGACACGTCAACGAGTTAATCTGTAACAAGATTCTCGTGTTGGAGGTCATGCATCGGTTTGTTCTTTTGATTTGCAAAATTTATATCTTTTCGGCTTTTCCCTTCGCCACCCTATATTCGAATATCTAAGTTGAACATTTGAAGATGTTTGAAATTTCATTATATGTTGGATCCAAGTACGAGCTGTTATTTTGGTGTAATATTATATATTATCACCCATATATTTGATATAATTTACAAATATATAAACTATAAACAATATAATAACTTATTTCGTATATCCAGGTTAAACCAAATTAAAGTGACCAACCATTAACACTCAAGTCACTTGCCCAACAGTTTTAACAACGATTTTACTAAAATGTCTAGGAATCGCCAAACATTTATAGTGCAGAATTATACACGGACATGTCTCATGACAGCCAACTTTAGTCTCTGAGTGCACCATTCAAAATCAAGATAGAATACATACCCATTGAGATCTTGGCACATTGGCCAACTTTAGTCAGTTATCAGTCGAACTTATTCAAGTCCCTTTTTCTTTCCCACGAAGAACAAAAGACAATTCATGTGGGCATGTGGCTAATCAATAATTAGAAGAAAGACGAAAACAAGACATCAAGCTGGTAATTAGGCAAAAAGGGAACCACACGAATTGAGCTCTCTATTGTAAATGGAACGGGAAAGAAAGTGACAAGTCCCAAGTAGCGTATAATGCAACTTCAACTTTTCTCCCGGACAAAAATTATATGTGCAAATAGAGAATGCATTCCATTAGAGTCCAAATGCAATTGGGGCAATATTCGGCAAAAGGGGAAATTGGGTGAGAGCTTCACATCCCTTGCTCTCAAAGCTGCATAAAGTGCATTAACATTAATTAGGATTATGTGGTACTAATGGTAGAGCCAGAAAATCGAATGAGAGGGCTAATTTAAATAGTGGTAATTGAGAGAGGAGTCTAAAGTATTATCGATTATTAATACACCAACCTCGCCTGTTTATGGCGGTTGTTGCGATTTTTTGGAGAATCTGGCGATCACGAAATTGGGTTGTCTTTCAGGGCAAACTGTTGCAAATAAAATTTTTGTTTCCTTATAATTGAAACACTAATGGTGGGCTTTTGGTGGAGGAGCTCGTTTATGAGCTAGTAGAAAATAGGAAGGAGTTTTATTTGATTGGCGAAATGGGACAAGTGGAAGAATAGGTTGCAGAGAAAGAGAGCACTTAAGACAAGAGGAGCTTTTGCTTCTTTATATTTCTTTTTTGCTTTGCTCTACCCTCTGATTCGTACAATACAAGCCTATTTATAGGCCTCCAATCACAAAATGTCAAACCTATTAAGTATGATAGTTGGAACCGACTTCCTCTTGTGTGGTTCCTATTTTTTTCTTTTGTTTAATCACTCAACTTGCTCATTCTCTACACAATTCTACACTTCTCCATACACTCATACGTCTACTAGTCTCTAAGTGATTCTGATATTTTTATTTATTTAATTAAATTTTATTTTATTTCAACACTCCCCCTTAAAGTTTAAATAGTAGTAACTCCGAGTTGCGTCCTCATCTTGACGAACACGTCTTGCTTCAGCGGTTTGGTGAAAATATCTGCAATCTGGTCTTCAGTCTTCACATACTTTAGCATCACTTCTTTATGCTCAACGCATTCTCTCAGAAAATGATATCTTGTATCAATCTGCTTACTGCGATCATGAAACACCAGATTCTTTGCTAGTGCCAGAGCAGACTTGTTATCAACATAAATCTCAGTTGACTCTTCTTGTGTCATATTCAACTCCTTCAGCAACTTTCTCGGCCATATAACATGACACGCACACGATGTTGCAGCAACATACTCAGCTTCACAAGTAGACAGTGTCACGATAGCTTGCTTCTTTGAACTTTATGTGAAAGCTGTATCTCCTAGAAAGAATACGAATACTGTATTGCTCTTGCGATCATCCACGTCTCCTGTCCAATCACTATCGCAGTAGCCAACCAATTTGAAAATTTTTTACTTAGTGTAAAATAGACCATGATCGATTGTACCTTTGATGTAGCGCCATATCCTCTTGGCAGCATTCCAGTGTGACATTGTTGGTGCCTCCATGTATCTGCTGACTAATCCAACTGCGTAGAGAATATATGGTCTAGTACAAGTCTGATATCTCAAGCTTCCCATGAGACTTCTAAACTCCGTTGAGTTGACCTTCTCTCCTTTATCATCCTTGGATAACTTCAGTCCACACTCAGCAGGTGTGCTCACAGGATTGCAATTCTAAATCTTAAACTTCTTCAGGACCTCCTTTGCGAAGCCACTCTGTGAGATAAAAATTCCTTCCTCCTTTTGAGTTACTTCAATACCGAGATAATATGACATTAGTCCGATGTCTATCATCTCGAACTCACGAACCATCGTCTTCTTAAACTCTTCAAACATCTTAGGATCGTTGCCTGTGAAGATGAGATCGTCTACATATAGGCAAACCATCAATATTGCTCCCCCTTGCACCTTGCAATATAGAGCATGCTCATGCGGGCATTTACTAAACCCGTTCTGCTGAAAGTACTTGTCAATCCTGCTATTCCAAGCTTTTGGTGCTTGTTTCAGACCATAAAGTGCCTTTTTTAGCTTCAACACCTTATCTTCTTGACCTTCAATGATATATCCAGGGGGTTGCTTGATAGACCGTTAGTTACACATGTTTTTACCCCTGCTCTTACTCCGTTTGAGGTATTGATTCTCGTGTTTTAGGCCGATTTCACGCTAGGTTGTGCTTGTTTATGATATTTCAGGTCCTAGTACGTGAATGGAGGCTTGGGAGCGAGTTTGAGGTCGATTGGACGAGGATCGGACGCATGGCGAGGTTCTGAGGAAGTCGCACGGGCACACCCACAACCCGCACGGCCGTGCAAGTGACCAGCCTGGCCTTGC